AATAGTCTCCAGAACTGTGACTTTTCCAGCTCCAGCCAAATTACTCCTTGAGAATCTTCAGTTCTTAAGCCAGGCCTGTGAAAGGTGCCAGGTTATCCTGCTGGTCACCTGTATGACCAAGATTGGCAACCATGAAAGACAGATGTACCAATTTATCCTCATAAGTTCTGGTTTATTACCATAGATGACAGTTTTTACCCTCGAGTGTTCAAATTTCTTCTTTTGCATTGTTTTTCTCTTGCTCCCCTTACTTTATATCCATCTTTTCTTCTCAGCTTTGTAGTTTAAAACAATAAACACTTATTATCTCATAGTTCTTATGGCTCTGGAACTTGGGTATAGAGGGTGGCCAATCTGAGCAAACACAAGGGTGACCTTTAGACACAAGCAGAAATGTGGTTCTATGGACTGTCATTTTGCAAGGCTAATTGATGCCATTAGCATATGAATACATTAGCTGCCTCTATGTTCAAAACTGCAGAGTAGTATCAATTAAAGGAAGCCACATGTGTTAACCAAAAAGACCTGAGAAGTTAAGAGAAAGCTTACATACAACTACATGGCGCCAGATGTCTTTGCATCTTCAGCCAATTAACATCTGAAAACAGGCTTTGGATTCCACTTCCCCTTCCCTCTTTTCCTTCCCTTTAAAAGAATAAACCTGGAACCAGTTCAGGGTCACAGCTGTCTCCATCAGAGGAGTTGGGACCACCCAACCTCTGCTTTTCTCTACTTGTGTCTTTATGTGTTTATTTTTGTTTATTTTCTAATCCACAGCCACGCCCCCCACCCCCTACCCCCCACTCTGCCCACATGCATTCGGTTGTGCAAGTCATGGCACTTGGGAGTAGTTTATTAGGGTCCTCTGGCTCATGAACTCTTACTAAACTATTATAAAAGAGTTGGCTAGGGCTGCAGTTTTATCTGAAGGCTAGATTGGGGGGGGTAGATGTGTTTCCAAGTTCTCTCATGTGGCTATTGGTGGGATCATCACAAGTTGTTGGACTGAGGGGCTCATTTCCTCACTGGCAGTTAGCCAGAAGTTCCCTCAGTTACATGTCATATAACTTTCTCCATAGGAAAGCTAACATTGTGGTAGTTGGCTTCCATCAGAGCAAACAGATGAGAGAGCAAGAGAGTGAGCAGGAGCAGGGTGACTGTAATCTAATCTCAGAAGTGGCATCTATCACTTTTGTTATATTCTGTTTATTAGAAGAAAGTCACAGGGTTTATCCAACACTCAAGAGGAAGATATTATATGAAAGGTGTGAACGCCATAAGCAGGGATCATTGGAAGCCATCTTTGAAGCTGCCTACCGCATCCTTTCAAACAGACCTTTGGAAGGACCAGCAGTTAGTGTAATGGCTATGTTGTTGGACTCCCATGTAGTCAACTGCAGTTCAAGTCCCAGACCCAGTGGCTTAAACTCACGCTGAGCACGTGTGCGTGCATGCCCAAGATCCCAAGAGGAGAATGGAGGAGAAGGGTTTGTGGCACGGCCATCCCCCCTGTGGGGGTTATTTCTTGCTTTCTGTCTCTCTGTCTTTCTCTGTCTTTCTGGCGAGTGCACGCACCTATAGGAAAAAATCTCTACCAAAAAAAAAAACAAAAACACAAAAAACAAAAACAAATAGACCTTTGGAGAATCTTACGTGCTGAGCAGACTCTCTTAAAAAAAATAGAGAATCTTTATTAAGATTATTAGAGAATTGTTAGAGAATCTTTATCAAGAATCTTTTTTCTCTTTATTCATGATAAAGCACGTTGAGTGTCCACGTCAGAGTAATGGATAAAAAGAGAGAATAGCAGCCTCTAAAGGCTCTGGTCATGCCATGAATCGCTTCTTCTAATCCTCCAGCCCATCAGACCTGGGCACAAGTGTGCATCCCCAGTGTGTTTCAGGCCAACTGAGCAGGGGATTCTAAGTGCTATGGTCACTGGGGATCCTGCTTTTCCTGAATAACACATGACCACTGTGCCATGGAATGGGCTCAAAACTTCTAAGAATCTTGAGAGTTTCTCACAGCATCTTTACAGGAAAGATTCATGACTGTGGCTTTTGTCTAATGGAGTAGATTACGAATCTCACACAAAGGAAACACACAACATTTTTAAGGTAATGTACCAGCTTGAAATAAAGAGACAGACAAACTGAAAAGAGGCATTTCTAAAATCACACTTTTACTGGAAGAAAAGTGACTAAGAAGGCAACTCTGCTGTAAAAACCAATATCTTATGGAAACAGAAGGATGGTTTAGAAATCAGAACCACAATTTTAGATGGTGGGTCCAAGAGCTGTGAAGAACAACTCAAAGGGAGTAGGACAGAGAAATGGTACCATGTGTCAAGCTGTATTTCAGAATTAGTCTAGGCTAGTGACAGCTTTGTGCCTCCCATTTTTTCCTCCTTTTGCAAGTGTCTGTTATCCTTTGCTCACTTCACCATGCCCTGTTGTTAAGTGTCAGGCAGATGACTTGTTTACTTATTTCATTGGGTTTCAGGCTTAAAATAATATATTCAAGGAATTACACCTGAGAAGCACCAGCCACACCTGAATTGGATTTAGATGACAAAATCTGGGACCTTGAGCCTGAGCCAGATGATATTTTTAGGGAGGTTTTCAGGAGGGAGTAAATTTGTTTGCCTACAGGAGTAATGTAAGTAAGGTGTGGCTCAAAAATGGATTGTGGCTGTTTTAAAACTTGCTTATAAATTCTTTGAAAGTCTTAGATAAGAAGTCAACTCAGTTCCCTCCCCTCAAAGCCAGGAGGATTTGCGTTTCCACCAACAAAGTTTGGCAGAAGTGATATGTGACTTTCAAGACAAATTTATGTAAGATAGTAGAGCTTCTGCCTTGTTGGCTAGGATACTCAGCTCTTGCCTTCTGCTGTCAAGAAAGGAGCTTGATTAATTTAAGAATGCCATGATGTGGGAAATCCAAGCCATGGAGAGAACATGTTTGGGCAACCTTGTCTGCAGTCTTAGTCTTGGGCACCAGATATGTATGTGACTGAACAAGACTTCAGGTAGTTCTAGCTTTCTGCCATGGCGTCACCTCCAGTTTTTGAGCCTTGCCGCTCAATGCTTCGGATACTGTGATGCAGAGACAAGCCATCCTTGCTATATATGTCTGACTTCTTCACCCACAGAATTGGGAAGGATAACAAGATGACTGTTCTAAGCAATTTAGCTTTGCAATCATCTGCTATATCGTCATAGTAACTAGGACTAAGCAGTGCACAACCGTCAGAGCTAAACTGTGAGTGAAAAGCAGAGTCAAGACCAGTAGTTAGTTTTGATGGCAGTCAACAGTCAGTGTGTTTACAATTATTTTAGGATGTCCTGTCAGTGAGGTAATCAATATAAATACTCCTAGTACAATGCCTGACAATAAGTATAGAATTTATTTTTATGCCAAAAGAAGTACATATATCTTTATTTTTAAAATATTATTATCAATGGCCTACTCATAATAATATTCCGGCTGAAGATTTCAAAGCTTCAAAGGGATAGCTCCAAGTTTCAGATAAGTAAAGATGTAGTTTATTGTTCAAGGTCATGCCAATTTGGGTAGAGCTAGAATTCAAACCCAGAGTATTCACTCTAAATTGCTGACTTTTAACAACTACATACTTGTCCCACCAGACATTTTCATATTTGAAGAAAAGATTAAGAAACTACAATTATGAAAAGTTGGCCCCACGTGGAAAAAGTTCAAGAATGAAAAATAAACTTTACACCCTAGAAAAGAGAGATTAAGAATAATTTAATGACTAGACATACAATAGGGTTGCACATCCAGGGATAATTTTCTATATTTCCATGTGTGTGCATGTATCTCTTTAATTCATAAAAATTATCATTTTAGGTTAACTAAAAAAGCACTTCATTTTGGTGAAGGTTAACCCTTCATCTTACGTGCTTAAGTTTGATAAACTATCTTTACTTCATGATTTGAAACAAAAAGAAAGACAGGTACTGGCTTTAATCGGTACAATTCTGCACACAGATGCCAATGATACATGAAGTTCAGGACTAAATTGTTATTAAGGCCCCTTTAATTATAACAGAGATAGTAACAGTAGCTCCCATCTATGCAGCATTGATTATTTCACAGATATCAGGTGCAAAACTCTGTTTTATTTACTCCCTGACACAAGCCTCTAAAGTATTACTTCACTATAACTTTTTCTACAGTGAGAAAGCTAGTACTCAAAAAAGCTAAGTCATTTCTCCAAGGTCACTCAGCTGGGGAATAGTGGAACTGGAATTCTATTGATGGTTGAGTCTCTCATTTTTTTCATCTTTATGAAGTACTCTAAAAGAAGCACAGTGAAATCACATGTGGGAATTACATATTGATATGGCTAATCACAGGCAACATAAACCTGCAGTAGGTTTCTCTCTTTCTTTTTCAATTTGCTATAGGGCGTATACACTTGCCAGAGAGAGACAGAGAGAGAAAAAGTGATAAAGCATCCCCCAGGGAGGATGGCTATGCCACAATCCCTTCTCCTTCACTCTCCTCTTGGGATTTGAGGCACCCATGTGCCAGACATGTTTTTCAAGTGCTGGGTCTTGAACCACCCAGCCAGCCAAGTGGGATCCAAACACCTTAACCGATATGCCACCTGGCAAGCCCTAAATATATAGTAGTCTAAGCTTATTTTATTTCCATATTTATAGGTGTTTAAAAAATTACAATTATTGATCTCCTTTGAGAATATCATTGCTACTATAACTGTACAGTTATAATATCCACCCAACACATAAATTGCCTACTTTTTGGTTGCTAATTTAAAAATACATACACAGAGAAACAAAAATACAAACAAAATGTAAATAAAAATCTTTTTAAAATCTTAGAAATTCTTTCGACGGGTTATGCCAATCCTGTTAAAAATGGTTCTTCTATGTACAATACATGGTCTTTAAAAATACTACTTCAAGAAACAAAAACTCTTTGGTTAAGCAGAAGGATTCTAAATGGGGAGTTCAGCAGAAGGATTCTAAATGTGGAAATTCAATTTGTTAAGGATATCCTTTCTTGGGTTGGACCTCACTTATCTGGTTTAACTCTTAAGTTGACTTTCCCCTTATGATGAAATTAGGAGGGAGGACTGAGGAGAGGTTGGTTTTCACATAGATCATTTTCATATGAAAATATAACCAGAATCTCAATGCCAAAACTTACACATGATTCATACTCTACCAGATTAAAAAGAGAAATTTCTGCTTCCCATTCATTTCAGAACAAACATGAGAGTGATCATAGTCAATACATGTGTATGTTCTTAAGTAAAAGTCATAGTTACTGGGGGGGGGTGTCCAATGCTCTGGAAACTCCTCTTTCCTATTTGGAAGAGAAGGAGACAAGAGGAGGGCAGATGCTGGGTGTTCCTTTTGCTTCTAAAATTCCATCACTTTTCTGGTGCCTTTTGCTTAACAATCTAAAATTATAGACATATCCATGACTCAAATGTCTTTAAAAAGAACTATCAAGTCAGCAGTGATTACAGTGCATCAACATTTGCCAATAGGACTGTCATTAAAAATTAACCACGGTTATTCTATACTCTTGGTTTATTAATAGTAACAATCACAGATTTGGCCAAAATACCTCAGGGGTTCAAAGAGTCAGCTACCTTACCTATTGGAATGTATACTCCTTTATATTTAGTGGGAAGGAAAAGCCTTCACGATTTTGTTCTGGCATACTTTATACTTTGTGAAAATGTCTTAGTACATATGATAAAATCTTACCCAAAGCTCATCCTTTAACTACACATTATCATCACCTTTAACAGGCTTTCGAAACGTCTCATCTCTCTCAGCTGGCTGCTGGAGAAAGACAAATAGTTTTTGTTTCATTTATTTTGTTCTAAATTCTCCAATGGGACTTAATTACCTGATTGGAGTAATTGACACATTACTTTAGGAAGAGGTATCATTGACTAATACTCAAACTTGCTTTCCCCAGACTAGTATTAGAAGCGTATTAGTACATTTCTAGGTTGAGTACAGGGCAAAGTAACATGTAACATGCTTCTATTGACTACCATGATTTCTGCAAACCACCATTGTATGATGCCAGAGAGCTATGGAAAGGCAAAATTCACTCTTGTGGTTTTGCATTTGCATGACTTAGTTGTCGAAGGGCAAAAGACCCTTTTCAGACCTTTGAAGGACTTGAAGGAGATGAGTGTGACTGAGATGAAACAGAGATTTCAAAAAAACTATGCTGCTTCAACAACAACAAAATGGTTTTGATTGTGGAAAGGGAAATGAAATAGCCTTCAACAATTGAGAAAAGCAAAGAATGAGATACATGAATAATTCACAGCATCTAAATAAGATATCATAATTCAGGGCCACATCCGTATCATTCTCCTCCACCCGCCCTGTGCAGGGTTCTCTGTTCTCTAATGGTCTTCCAAAAGATATAATACGCTGAAGAGAGAAATAATCAGTCTTGGATTATTGATCCTTAAAGTCCTCTTCTGTCAGAAGTCTTTATCCCAGCCTGACAGCTCATCTGGAGGCACTCCTTTTTCCGGAGGATACTTGTCAAAGTAACTGTGATCTATGGGTCCACTGAGCTAAGACAGAAAGGATTAAAATAAAGGTGAGGATAAGGTTGACTAAGCATGCTCTTACATATGGGTAATACATTTTATAGCTGAACACTGATTTCATACTCCAGACACTTGTAAGTTACATATAAGGAAAGATGACTATCATTCTTGAGTCACAGCCTCAGCCCTATGAAAAGACAGAAAGGATTAAAATAAAGGTGAGGATAAGGTTGACTAAGCATGCTCTTACATATGGGTAATACATTTTATAGCTGAACACTGATTTCATACTCCAGACACTTGTAAGTTACATATAAGGAAAGATGACTAATTATCATTCTTGAGTCACAGCCTCAGGCCTATGAAATCTTCCCTTTAGAACCAAATAGATTTGGTCACTGGATTATCTTAAATTGCCTCATGTTACCTGGCACGAGGAGTTATTTCCTAAAGGAAAGATGAAAGAAATGATGTCTATGAATTGTTGAAATTCAAAAATATTCTAAAAGCAAATATTAACATACCAAAATTTGCCCAACCTCTTCCACTTAACAAATGTTTCTCAACAATCTTGAATTTAAATATATATATACATATATATATATATTTCCTCCAAGACTGAGAAAAGCAGAGATACTCGCAAAGGGTCTGGACACGGTGATCTACCAGCAATCCTCAGCAGCCCCACATCATAGGCAAGCATGTTCCCAGGGCACCCAGGGAGGTCTCCAGACTCAAACTGGGAACCTTCTCATTGAGAGGGGTGGGGCATTGCATCTTACTGCTGCACCTTGCCCTGCCCCTTGAATATGCTCAATTTGTCTAGATAAAATATGCAGAATGACAAACTGAGGGACAATTCAAAATATTAGTGATCTTATTTAAACAGTGAAATGACTCCAGTATGAATTACTTTACAAATCAGTTTCCAATTCTTTGCTTTCAAACAAATTTAAATTGAATTATCAATTTAAATACTATTTAATATCATTAAAATATCATTTATGATAGATTATAATGTATTGGGGGAGTAGAGGGATAGATCACTCAGAAGGAACTCAAAGTGACACTGCCGTAAGAAAACCTATATTCTGATATATGTGAATACAATTCCTTAGCACTTGCATTTATGAAATAATTTTTTTTCCAAAGAGAGAGACTGTTGCTATAGCATGAGCTCACCAGAGAGACAGAGACAGTGAAAGAGAGAGAGAGTGAGAAATCACCCCCCGAGGGATGGCCATGGCACAATTCCTTCTCCTCCATTCTACCCTCAGGATTTGGGGCATGCATGCACATGCACCCAGGGTGAGTTTCAAGCTGCTGAGTCCAGCATGCAAACCACAGTCGGCCATGTGGGTATCTGGTGGCATAACCACTACGCCATCTGCTGGCCCTGTGTAATAATGTTTTTTAAAGGCAATAGAACTGATGCTAAAAATGATCCATTCAATTAATAAGAATATTTTCCTATAGGTATACAAAATAATTTCTTATCAAAAATTGTATTTAATAATTCTTCAGAAATTTGTAATATGTGAATTTATATATATGAGAGTTCTTCAAACATTTGTGGAAAGTGTATATTATAAATAAACTCTACATAGATTTCAAAACACTTTGTACGAAAATGAATTTGTATTTTAATTCCATTTTTCAGGAACATTTGGAAACCCCTTTATACTTATATCCTTTGATACTACATGCCATAAAAATGTAATTATAACTGAATTCAGAAGAAACACTTGTGTTAAGTTATCATAGAATTTCTGTTGCCATAGAACTTCTGTAATTTTTAAACTAAAATTTAAAGTTTCTTAACAAATGAGTCACAGTGGTGCCCACTGCTGCGAGGCTGTGCTTCACAATCTGAAATCTTGTGGGAGGCCTGGGTTCAATTCCAGGTCCAACAAGAAGGCCAGGTATGGTGGTGTATTCCTGTAATTGCAGCAGCTCCAGGAAGCTGAGGCAAGAGGATCATGAGCTCAAGGCTAGTCTGGGGACCATAGCAAGACCCCTAACGAGACCCAAACATGGAGTACATGCCTATAGTCCCATACCCCCTGGGAAAGGCTGAACAGAAGGACCACGACATGACAAAACCCTGACTTTAAAAAAAAAAAAAAAGAAATCAAGGGGCCAGCAGGTGGCCTAGCGGTTATGTTGCTGGACTCCCACATGGCCTCCTATGGTTCGACTCCTGGCCCCACAAAAATCACACCTGGTGTACGTGCGTGCACACCCAAAATCTTGAGAGGAGAAAGGATTTGTGGTGTGGCCATCCTCTTGGGGGGTAATTTCTTACTTTCTGTCTCTCTAGTGAGTGCATACGCCCTATAGCAAAAATCTCTCCAGAAGAAAAAAAGAATCAAGAAGGGCTGTCAAGCATAAAAGTATTTTACATTATTTTAAAACTCTATAGGAAAAATGAAATAGCAATATAGGGAGAAAAGCAAATGATGAAGTATGTCTTTTTTTTTTTTTTTTTTTTTTTTTAAGAGAGCTTCTTGCTATAGGGCATGGTGCTTGCCAGAAAGATGGAGAGAAACAAAGAGACAGGAAATGAGAAATCACCCCCTGGGGCGTGGCCACAGTGCAAATAGGATCTCCAGGCACGCACATACACGTGCCCAGAGTGAGTTTTTACCACGGGATCCAGGATTCAAACTTTGGTTGACTATGTGGGAGTTCAGCAACGTAACCATTACACCATCTGCTGGTCCCTGACTGTATTTTTAAAATGGCCAATGGGTACCAAATCTCAATGATATTTACATGACAATTGACTTACTTAAAAGAATAAAGTAACAGTAATAACTTATTTTAAAATGTCAGTATCTGGGTCCAGCAGGTGGCATAGTGGTTAGGATGCTGGACTCCCACATGGCTGACTGCAATTCAAGTCCCAGACCTGGTGGCTTGCTTTCTCACTTTCCATCTCTCTTTCTTTCTCTGTCTCTCTCTGGTGAGTGCATGCGCTGTACAGCAAATTAAAATATAATAATAATAAATAAATAAAATTAAATAAATAATTCTAAAAATGTCAGTATTTACAACATATTAGAATTACATTATCCACAACAATTTCAACTTTAATGAAAAATATTCAGATATCAATCCACAAATGTGCAAGGAGAAACATAGATCTTGACACTAGCATAAAATGGAGAGGACACTGACCTAGATCATTCCTGAATCATCTTACCCCCAGGTTAGCTGATGCCCCACTTTCTCTAGAACTGTGCCATCTAGGAAGTGAACCACTCGCTCAAGTGTTGAGCACTGGCAATGCAGTTGTCATGTACTGTAAGAATAAAATTCACTTGGAATTTTGACAATTTAATGTGAAACAATAAATTTAATTTATCTTACTACTATTTTATATTGGTAATATTGAAATCATATTTGGATAGATGATGATAAATAATTTAAATGAACTTCATCTCTTTCTTTTTACCTTTTTCAGTGAGGCTACTAGAAAATTTAAAATGACATAAATGGTTCACATTATTCCTAGAGACATTGTTTGGCCTGACCAACACTGACTACTTTGGGGCTTAGAGGGCGTTTACATGCAATTGGTCACTGAGAGGTGAACTAATTTCCAACCAATAGACAATACCATTTAATCCCTTAATTGCAATTACCATGGTATTTTTCACTTAATTTTTTAAAAAATGGTTAAAAAGAAAACCTAAAATTTGTTACACATGCACACACATTGCTCCCTAAAGTCTGTTTATAAAAACAAATAACTAGAAAACAATCAAGAGAGTTAATATAGTAAATGCCATACCTCTCTTCGTAGAGGTGAGGGAAGGTTCCGTGCTTTCAGTCCCTCCCAATTAAAACCATTTAACCACCTGAGAAGTGAGAACAATACAGAGGAGTATTAGTTGCCTGAGAAATAGCATGCCAAGTTACCTGTCATTCCATTTGGTTGCCTGCTCCTTCCTGCAACAGTGCAACTGCAAGTGGCTGGAGGAAAATACATGTCTGCTCTCAGGTAAATCCATACCCACTCACCTCAGGTGGGCACTTCATGCTGCCCTGCAATTATTCTAGGTGTCCCTTAAGACTTATAGTTCATAATCTGTCTCCTCTCCCCAGACATCTAGAAC